GTACCCCCATGTCGGTATATCTGTTCTACCTGCGACGTGTATGCCGTGCAGCCCCGAAGGCAGGGGACGAGAAGACGGATGGAAGCAAGGGACAAGGGGGAGGGAGGAGGGAGCTCGAAAGAGAATAGCAGGAGGGGGGCTAGGAGCAGAAAACAGGTGGCAGAACCAGACGGGCCTATCGGGCGGGTAGACAATAGCAGGCGGGTCGGGAAGGCGGGCCCAGGCGGCCAGGTCGAGCAGGCGGGTTGCTGAAACGTGCGTCCTGCATGAATCGCCAGGAAGTCTCGAGCGATAGCGCGATTCGTAAATGAATCGCGAGAAATCCACGGCGAGCGCGTATTTCCTGAGTGTCGAGGGCGCGGCATCAGAATACATTGTAAAGAAGTCCTGCGCGAGAGCGCGATCCCTGCATACATTCTGAGGAAGAGCCACGCGAGAGCGCGATTTCGGAATCGATTGTGAGGACGAATGAGGCGGGAGCCGTTGATGTTGTTGTTGTTGTAGACCGGGGGCTAACATCACAATTTGGTGGCACCTCGCTTCCCCTCATAATGAAACAGGCTGCGAGCCCGGGGAGAAGCACTTGAATTGAACAGTACAAAGGTTACCAAGTAGGGGGAATCAACAACAGTGGTTCTTCATGGATGCAAATTCAACAGCAACAACAACAACAACAGCAACAACAACGCCAACGACACCAACAACATCAACACCACTCACATCAGCAACAACAACAAAACCAACAAGAGCAACAGCAACAACAATACCAACAACATAACAACAGCAGAAGCACCACCAGCACCACCACCACCTACAACAACAACAAACATAACAACAGCACGAACAACAACACCAACACCATAAACACATACAACAACACCAGCAACAACAACAACAACAACAAACACACCACCAACAACAACAACAAGAACACCAACACAAACGACAACAAAACAAGGCCACCAACAACACCAACAACAACACCAACAGCTATACACACAACAACAGCATCACCAAGCTTCATTACACAGCCAACAACAACACAAACAACAGCAACAACACCAACACCACCAACACCAACACCACCAACAGCAACATCAAAACACCGGACAGCTCGCCCCTTGGCTCCCCGCCAGCCCCACGTCAAGGGGCGAGCACATATACGGGCGCAGCACCGCGCTGCATGCGTAGCCTTCGGCTGGGCCAGGAAGGGCAAGACCCAACACTGCATCGCGTGGCGCATGGATGCCCGCACCGATCACGACTCCTCTCAAGCCCTACCTCCAACCCATCCCGTTCGCTTCCTCCTCTTCGTCCTCGTCCTCCACCCTCCCTCTCACCCATCCCCCCCCGTCGTCCAACTCCTCCGGCTCCTCCTTCCGCCGCCTCCTCCCTCTCCTACGTCCTACGCGTCTTCCGCCTCCTCCGCCCTCCATGTCGTCCGCCTCCTCCTCCTCGTCCGACGCCTTCCCCCTCTTCCTCCTCTTCCGCTCCCCCTCCCCACCAGTCTCCCTCCCACACTCACGACGTCGGTATCCTCCTTCCCCAACCGCTCCCCTCCTCCTCCTC